TTTTAACTTTTTTCAGGGGTTTTTTGGGAAAGATGTTTTTTTTTTTTTTTTTTTTTTTTTTAGCATTTCTTTTATCTCCAAGTTTGTTTTATTTATCCCATTTGTGTTGATTTTTTTTATCCTTTTTTTCCTACAAGAAAAAAAAATACTTTTACATACTTTGATGAAATAATGTATCCACATGTATGGTTGTCATCTATTAATCAGAAATCTGTCCTTGTTATTCAACATCTCAGCGTGTCGGATGTCAGCTGTTAATTAATAATCAAATAATATCCCTCTTAGACGTACCAGGAACAAAGAATAGTTTTTAATCAGTGCCATTGTCTTGTTATTTCATAACTTGTTTTTGAGTGTGGGGATTTTATCTGTTAAAGGGCTAATGTCTTAGAAGTGGAAAACAAACAGCTGCAGGACAGAACCATGAAGCTCTCCAATCAAGTCAGGTCCCTGGAGCGTGCCCTGAGGAACGTTGAGTCGTTCTACAGTATGGAGGTACAAACATGGACAATTTCTTTTTATTATCATTTTGAGCGGACCCTGTTCTGAAATTGTAGAGAATTTCAAACACCATTTACCGTCGGGTTCACACTGTCATTAACTGTGAAACAGTTATAAAGAAAATGTGTTTTATTTTTTTTTTTTTTGTTTTTGTTGAAAAAGTTGAAATATGTGTTTTGTTTAACAGATGCTTTCACATATCTAACTTGCAAACTGGTCAATATTTTTTTTACAGAATGCCAAGAGAGCGCTCTCCTCTGATGATTTCACAGAAGGCGTCCTGCATTCATCAGCTCTGAGGTAAGCCTGAGAAAAATGTAAATCACATATCAGTACAAAGATGGGAAAAAATATGTTATGTTATGACAATGTAAAACAGGCTGCTCTCTGTTTTGAAAGTGTTCATTTTATAAGTTCCCAGTCAGAAATACAACAAAACGTCATTTGGAAATTCACGGCGTCAGTTTGCGGACTCCACATATTACAGACAAAATGATGGGACATGAAATTACAACGTCCTATGTATGTAAATTTTCTCTCGTTAACACATCTTCTAACCAAAACTCTTCATGTTGCACAGCCAAGCATGAAGTAGTTCTGTAAAACATCTCTCTAGTGAACGGAAGCAGCTGAAAAACCCTCTCCTCTTCTTATTTAGTTTCAAAAAAGTTGAGTGTGTGTGATTCTTAGCTTCAGCTCCAACACACTTTTTTTTTTTTCTAGGATGAATAATTTGTAAAGTTTCTGATAAAAACTTGACGTATCGTGTCAGAAGTGGAATGACGCAGATCAAACCAGCGCTTTGCAGTCAGGAGAAGCTTCAGCTTCAGCTGCAGCTCAGACTGTTGAGAGCAGCTTTCGTCCCGACGACAGGCCAACCACACTCACTTGCTAATAACAGAAAGTTTGTTATCGATGTCAGTCTGACCTCAGGTCCCTGTGATCATGTGGACATCGTGGACGCGATCCGCCGCGCGACGGTGAGCAAGCACGCGGTGCTGGACGGCACGAGGACTTCCGTCTCTACGCAGCAGCCGTCTGAGCAGGGATACCTGAACCTCACCTCCCCAATGGTCACTCCAGCTTCCACTAAAGGCAGAGAAGAGACCTCGGATGACAAAGACCAGGGGTGAGAGGCGACGGGAGTTTAGTGATGTCACTGCCATACAACGTGATCTGCTTACATAGGGGTCGTATTTGAAAAGCAGATTCTTGTTTGCCTCATACGTACTGTATTTGACCCAGCAGCTTACAAAGCCTTTATTAATCAAGTATTTTTCAACATACTCTGTTTTTAAAGACAACAGTGTCCATTGGGATTCTATATTAGAAGCCAGCCTGTTTATTTGGAATGCAAACACGTGCAAATGGTTTTCTAAAAGTTTATTATGTTACTTTGGTTTGTTTGCCTTTGCACACCAAAGCTTATGAGCATCACTTAAAGTTTGAAAGACTGATACTGTTTGTAATATAGCATTATGAGAAGCACTTCACACCAGTGCTTTTAATGGGAAATACATTTTTATGACAGTTATTTTAATGATTCTAGTTGAACTGAAGCACTTTAACATGTTTTTTTTATAAAGATGTTTACATTCAAGGTGTTTTAGCGATGCTGTGCAAATTTTGGGATATTAATAACTTTTCCTGGTTCGATTTTGCAGTGTTTTGATGCCTTACGATGCCTAAAGTGTTGGTTACTTTTGTACTTAAAAGGAAAAAAATATATATAAATTGAGTGAATTTTTTGCCAGTTTACAAGTTCTGAATGTTTTACCCATCTTCTAACAGGGGATTATCTGGTACTTTAAACGAAACCAATTCTGTCCTTTTTTTTTCTTCTTCTTGGCCTAATTCAAGTTTTCTCTGGTTGTTTTTTTTTCTCTTTCATTGTTGTCCACATTCAAAAAAAAAAAAAGTTTCCTCCTGCGGTTTTCAAGCAGCACAGCGTGGCCACATCTGCGCGATAGTCTTACATGCTTGGCAGTCTGTTTGAAACACTGAACTCCATCAAAACAAGATCCAGTTTGACTCATAGCAAGAGCCAAATCTTTTTGTCACGACCAGATATAATTACAAAATTCATATTTGTGGATGTTTCCTTCATTGTTTTTTTTTTTTTTTTTTTTAATAATTCAGCGGTCAAGTTGTCTGCATGTAACAGAATAGAAGGTGTGATAGCATGATTTCACGCACGGCTTCCTGTCACACAAAGTCATTGATGTTTAGTCGTGATGTGACAGAACCGGTGTCATACATTCTGAACTAAACAGAGACGCACTGTGTATTTATATGTACTCAAATTCTGCGAAGGAAACTGCCCTGCCTGTCACAGGATGAACAGAACTGGACTCATTTATTAACACAACTGTAAAGATGTAAAAAAAAAAAAACAACTTAAAAATTACTCATAAGCAGCATAATCAGAATAGGAATTTAAAAAAAAAATCCAACTTGCAATGAAGGAAGTCAACAGTGAAACAATAGTTGATTGTACTCCTAAAGTTCCTTTTTGTCATTGGGATAGATCTTCTTTTATGGCGTTGTTCCAGGTTGGAGTGCACAGAGAGAGAGCTGCGTCGGGTTTGATGCCCTTTTCTGTTTACCCAATAGGATTTAAGTATCTAAAGTTGATGGGAAAATTTAGATTTATGTTTAACTATCTCTGTGATGTTGCTAGGATACTCAAAGATGACTCATTTTCGCTTTTCTGGACGAAAACATTTCATTTCCTGTTATTCCAAAGCAGTTCATGATGCTGTTAATCCTACAAAGGCTCCCAGAGCTTCTGGAAGAGAAACAGGCCCACAGCATAACAGATCCTCTACCAAACCCAATAGGTAGCATTCGTCCAGGTTAGCATGAAAACAGCATCTTTAAAACAAGTCTATTTATTTTGGTTGCTATGGATATTCTAAGATGCCACTCTTTGCTTGAGTGATCTTTGGAGTTTTTTTTGTATCTTGTATTTTTGTATGTCATTGTAAATCTCGGTCTTTGTGAATCACAGTGGCTAATAGAAATGGGATTCGGTGGTATGCTATGTTAACGCACAGTTTTGTTTTTTTTTCTTTATAATGAAATGTGTATTTTTCTACATTTCTTGGAGATTATGCTACTGCAGTAACGGCTTTATTTTAGTTTTATTTCTCACATCTCCCAGAGTTACCAATAAATGTGGCTGACACAAACAAATGCCTTCAAATATTAGCTGCACTTTAGACCCAAATATTAATAATCATGAGTGCATCACATTTGTATATATTTTCTAAATGTAAGCCACTATTTTTGTATTAACTACATTTTTACACAAAATAATCTGTTATTATTTCCAATGTGCCTGAAACTTTGGGTGTTTCGAATGTGGTTTTTTTTTTTTTTTCTTTTTGAAAGAATTGTGGAAATTGTTTCAACTTTACTTTTCATCGCATTTGTATCAGAATGTTTTTTTCTTTTCTTTTTTTTTCAAATTTGAAATTATTTTTCTAAAATAAAGATTTAATGAACAAAAAATCTCCGCGTTGTCCCTTTTCAACGTTCAACTTAAGAAACGGACTAATTTATAACAGTCTGTTTATTAAACAAGGTAAAGATACAAAGCTTTTTTTTTTTTTTTTTTCCCTTTTTTTTTAAACATTGATAACCTTAGTTAAACTCCTCAGTCTTGGCTGTGCATATTTAGTCGTCTAGAAACCGTATATGAAACCACAATGCAAGACAGGAAAAAAAGTGTAATAAATCTACTGAATATCTTTTTTTCATAGAGAACATGGGTTAAACAGTTATACAGATTACAGCTCAAGAACTCCATGCGGAAAAAAACAAAAAGAACAAAACGAGAATAAAATGCTTACACGACTGAATACTGTCGAACACAATACAGAGTAATGGATCTGGGATGATAAACAGTTAAGGCTTACATGTATAGAACTGATATAAAAGATGAATATTAATAACGTACAGGTAGACTAAAATAATTACAGTAAATTCATACGTGAACTTTTACAAATTCCAAACAGAACATATCGATGGAAACCAAAAAAGTAGGTACTATATGAGTAACATGTTGAATCAACAGTACGGCAACATGTAAATTTGTCCATTATCTCAAGGAAAAAAAAAATACAAAATTGAGAGAGTTAGAGAGAGTACGTTGAAGAGGCAGGGTCTGTTGTTGGCGTAAATGTCCGTTTTTCAGGCCAGTGGCTTGAGTAATAGGTTCTTATTCTTTTTGAAAACATACTATATACTGTATATGTATTTTACATTATTCTCAGTTCCTTCTCCGATCTAACGACGAGCCGCAGCACTGTTGTTTTCTGAAGCGCCCTGAAGAATACAGGGAACCCTACGAGTACCGTTCAGAGGTTACAGTAAAAATACAACAAACAATACTGTGTACAGTAAAAATAATACTAAAGAGAGAGAGAGGAGGAAAAAGCTGAGGATTTACCTCGGCACACACTCGTAATCCTACCGAGTAGGACGTATACTGCAGTTTCTTCAAGATGAGTAAAGCTTATTTTAAAGAGAACTAAAAAAAAATAAAAAATAAAAAAGGGGTCGGGGGTCGACTAGGTGAGAGTAGCTGTACATTAACTTCACATTTTGGTCCAGTGGTTGGATTTAAAATTACCCACTTCTAAAATAAAATAATAATAAAAAAAACTATTTCAGCTGGAATTTGAGCTGATTTCAAAAAAATATTTACTTTAATTCTGACAAATGTGTCAAAACCTTATAAAAAAGGAATCGTCAAAGCCTTCATTAGCTGTGTAAGATTGGCTTCTTCTTCAATTCTCAAAGGTCAAGTATGGCACGAGCATAAAAATAGAGTGTGTCAGTGAGTGTGTGTGTCCGCGTGTGTGTGAAAAAGGGGTGCTGGAAATGGGTTCACAAATGCGATATTTCCAAAAGGTGCCTTTAAATTGAAAAAAACATAAAACAAAATTGAATACGGTTGTCACAGAATTTGAGAGAGCTAAAACAAGAAAAATATATTCCATTTAATGTTTCTCCATTTCTGCCAATAACTCCACGTCCTAATACAATCATCTGAATTGTCATCGATCGATTGCCTGTCATCAGGTTTGGATGGCCGTGTACTTGTGCAGAAAAAAAAAAATAAAAAATGAAGAGAGCAGCACAGAGCACCGTCATTTGTTTGCACTCCTAGCTGCCAGAAGTAATGCCCCCCGCTGTTTTTTTTTTTTTTTTGGCATTTTCCTTCCAACTTGATTAAAACAGTTTGTGCCAAAAAGTGCTTTAAGATCATCTTTGGATGTTTTCCAAATACACCCAGCAAATTTTTTTTCACCCCCCCCCCCCACATACATCCTCTCTCAATACTTTAAAAAGGCCAAGTTTTGAAAACCCATTTTATGGAAAAGGGTATGGGGGTGGGGGACAAAATAATCTAAACTGAAGGGGGTTAAAAAAAAAAAAAAAGTATCTAAAATATATTTAACAGGCCGATGCATCCAACGGTTTACATGATGCTTACCAAAGTGCTTACTGAATCTGACGCAAGACATTCTTTGCCGCTCGGACCGCCGGATCAACGTCAAGCTGTACTGTTACATTCACGAAACAACGCTGTGCTCTTATTTGATTTGATTTGTTTATATATATATATAATTTTGTTTGTTTTTTGTTGTTGTTTTTTTTACTGCCAGACAGCCCAGGTGGAGACGGATGGAGGCAGTCCGTTTACTGAATCTTAACGCCGAATGCTTGTGTCAGCTGTCACAACGCTAATGTAAGCCTTATGTAGGTGAACGTGGGGTGCAGGGCCTCCGGACGTCCGGCCCGACCCAGACCGAGAAATCCTGCTGCTGGACGCCCGCCGAGCTCAGATGAGGGAGATCCGGATGGGGATGCTCGGGGACTCGGTCCTCTGCGGCGATTGGTGGCTCACTAGGTGCTCCACGACCGTGTGTTTGGACATGTGCTTCATAAGGTAGGTCTCCTGGAAAAGGTTGGAAAACACACACACACACACACACGTTTATTATTTTGGAGTTGGATTCGAATCATTCCTCGCCACCTGCGGGCGAGCAACACAAAGCAAACCCAAAAGATGCAACGTTTCTGTTAGACGTGATCATAGACTTTCATCTGCTGACTCCAGCTGTGCAGGGACATTTTCAACATGTTGTTCAAATTCAATCAGATTTGATATTCAAATTCAGCCCCAAACAGTCAAAACTGCGACAGTACTTATTTACAGATTTACTCTTATGTTGTTCTGTGAATATAAAGGCGACATCTTACCAGACTCTGAGTAATCGTGGTAATGACCACGCATCTCCAATATTTATTTCCGCTTATCAAGCCTCTAAAAAT